TTCTGTGTCTCCCTCCCTCTCTCTGCCCCTCCCCCACTCACGCTGTCTCCCTCTCAAAACTAAAAAGCAAAACGTCAAAAAAATAATAAAAAGAAGAGACTGACTAATGAAACAATTTTAAATTACGGCTCTGAAGACAATAAGCATTTCAGGTCTTTTTCTTACTGCTTTGCAAACTGACCTACCCTGAGCGGCGGGAGGGGGTGGGACTAGTAAGGGTCATTTTTGGCTTTTGCTCATGTCTCCCTGATCGTGGGAAACTATAAGAACCATAGATATGCATATACACATATACATATACATATACACATACATATATACATGTACGTATACATATACGTATACATATGCATACACATGGAAACAGTAGGCCCCAAATGACATTGCTTAGACCTAGTCCCCAAAAGGGGGCTCAAAACTTAATCTCATTGCATTGTCGACCTCCCGCAAAATGTAGTCTTAGCCGGTCAGTAATTTCTGATGGGTGCCAGTGAGTTGGCCACATGGGCCTCCATATTCAAAGGAAGCCATTGTCTGCGTGATAAGGCCCCTGTTGTTCCCTGTAAGGGAAAGTATCCTTGCCCTTGCCAGGAACAATCCATTTCTTTCACATCACTTTCTTGCCCCCCACCCTCCTTCCATTTGTATGGCTCCTGGGGGGGCCCCCTCTACTCGCTAGATGGGCTGCTCCTGGATTCATGAATCATCTCATAAGGCCAATTAGATCTTCAAATGTAATTTGGTTGATTTTTTTTTTTAAGTTTATTTTTGAGAGAGATTTTTTTTCCAACAATGTTTTTTACATTTATAGATGATCTCAAATGCACAATTTGGGAGCCGATACCAAAACTTAGATGTCAAGTTTACTTAGCACTTGATGCAAAAGAAGGGTGGTTTGTGACTGGCTGTGGCAGAGAAATTTGTGCATCTGTAGATAGGTTTCGGTTTGGATCACCCTGGCCAAGCAAGACCCACCCTTGGCCACTGCTGAGACTGAGTCCCTGCGGCTTCTCAGCCCGGTCTTTGCTGGTCCTTGACCCGGCTCCTGACTCTGCCCACCCCCTTTGCAAAGATCTTCTAGCAAACTCCAGGAGACTACCTGTTCTCTGCCCCTCGTTCTCTCCACGGGAAATGGGCTACTCCAAAATCCACTCCATACCGTTTCCAAGTGGTGGCTTCCATTCTCAGACTTCACACGCCTCCCAGAGAGCTGGAGCTGGGTCCTCCCTGTACCCCTTCTGGATTGTTCTCCACCCCCTTTGAAGAACACCTTGCCCCATTTTAGGCTCATGCCATCCTTTTATGTCACCTTCACTCCCTACTTTGGGTTCTTCTGGCTTCCCCATCACTCCGGAAGAGACAGTCACTTGTTCCCCAATGTCTGGTTCCCCTTCTAGAAATAGAACCCCTGAGTATTTTAGCAGGGGTTGTGACCTCTCATCTGACCAATGAGAGAGAAAACCGTGTATACGACTTCCAAGTGTTCTTAAAGGAAGGGTATATGCTTCTCTTCAGCTATCCTTGCTTCCTGATGTCTAGGTCAAAGGTGTGATGGCCGGAACTCCAGCACCCAGCACCACATTGGGCCATGAGGTAGCTTTTGGAATTGGCATCACGTGGAGCAGAATAACAAGATAGGAGACTGGGTCTCGACACTGAAGACTACATGTGAGCCCTGGATGTCTTTTTTTTTTTCAAGTTTATTTATTTGAGAGAGAGAGAGCAGAGGAGGGGCAGAGAGAGAGAGAGAGAGAGAGAGAGAGAGAGAGAGAAATGATCTGAAGCAAGCTCTGGGCTGACAGCAGAGAGCCAGATGCAGGGCTCGAACTCATGACTTGTGAGCTGAAACCAAGAGTCAGATGCTTGACCGACTGAGCCACTGGGGTGCTTCAAGCCCTAGATGTCATGCTTCTGTCTTGTTTAGCCATATTTGGTTGTTTTCTAACACTTGTAGCCAAACCTTATCCTATGCAACCCTTCCTAATTACCCCTCATCCTTCAAGGGCATTGGTTCCTGGTTCACATCTTGCCGTCCACCCCAATCCCTTCGGTTATTCTGGATTCATGTCGATGACCATTTAACACTCCAGACCTTTCTCCAATGACTTGGTCCATTCCGCCTTGGCCAACCTTGGGTTTCATCATCACCCAGATCTGCCACACTGGTTCCACTCTTGCTTATTCAAGCTCCCTGCCTCTGACCACAGCCTCCCTTCCTCGCATCTTGTTTCTTTGTTTTTAATTTTTTTAATGTTTATTTATTTTGAGAGAGAGAGAGA